TATACGGAGACTCTCGCATTTCAAATACTGAAGTAGATGCGGCGTCGACGGTGGACAAAGTTACAAACTGCTAAAACTTGGCGCTGACGAAGCCGCAAATACTTTGGTAAATGTGTAATGAAAAAAAAAAAAGAAGGAGATTTCAACTTCGCGAGCTCACTGAAACAAAATTCGAGGCGGTTGAAAAGTTTTCACTGGAGCGAGAAGGAGCTGCATTAGATCTCCGTATCTTTTTTATCGCGACTTGCGCAAAACCTGACACACATCGTTGGTGTGACGAAATTTCTCGAGTTTCCTAAAGAATCCTTTTACTGGAACCTGCAATTTTCATGTGAGTCCAGTGCCGTATATTTACCTGGCGGTCTTACTTGTAATTAGGTTTTACTTGTAATTACTTTGAACTTTACTCGACTTATTCGCAATGTACGAAAAGTACGTAAGAATCTTCCTGCGAAATCAGAAAGTACATGTATAACTAACAATCCCGCTGTTCTGTGTTTAGTGTGTGTGTGTGTGCTACTGCTATTATTACTGATATATATTAAGAAGAAAATTGCGCGTTCCAAATAGATACAATCTTGCTGGCGCGCGCTGCGATGTTCCCCAGCTGAATTTTTAGCTTCTACGTCTATTTGCACTTTTTTAACTACACTTCCGGGTGTCTCGTTGGAATTTGTAGAAGTTAATGATACCACAAGGGATACAGACTGACATATTCTACGCATATAACAGAGCTGAGTAAAGTTTGTTTTGATCAAATGCGGTAATGAGAAATATGAAAGATCTCCCGAGACACCATTATCGCCGATTCTCATACATAGCTGCATTCTGCGGTTAAAAAGATACACTTGACACATTGCGTCTTGAGAAGAAAGTTTCCTGGTGATAGAGATATCTCGTCTATTTTCTCCAATCGGAATATTATTTATTCGTATTACGAGTAGGTTTAGTCGTGTTTTTATTTAATTTATTATTACTAAAAATTAGTACAGTATATATATATGTGTGTGTGTAAAATCCTCGACATATATAATATTCAAAAAGAAAGAACTTTTCTTTATAATTATTAACCTAGTAAAGTTTATACATACCTGAATGATAATTTATAATACTAATGGTTAAGACAATTATTATCAATTCCTAGGTGTACCGCTCTATGAATTTAAATATAGATTTATGCTTTATATGAACATGTGTGCTAAAAATAAAGAGGTTGGGAGCTTTATTAATATGGAGCCAAAGGCGATCCATACGAGATTAAAAATTATTTATATAATTAAATAATTGATCATGGTAAATGGCATAACGCGGCGATATGTGGATGAGCAAGTTTCATTAGGCTCGCACGTAATTCGCGGCACGGCATCGCATGCGGCCGGCCCTTTTGTCATTGAAACTCTGACACGCTCATAAACACAAGCGTCATTCGTTCATAAACACCGTTCGCTTATCGCGTCGACTCGTTAGAAGCCAATTATGGGTTCCAATTGTAATGAAACGCGAAGCCGCGTTCGCTTAAAAACGCAGAAACCCGTCGATCTTAGATGGAAATGTGCGCGTGCGCATACGCTTTTATCATGAAAGCCACTGTAAACCGGTGTAACGCTCCGATAGGGCGTGTAACAAGCGAAGTTACGGCGAAGGACGATAATAATTACTTCGTTGTACGTCGCCGCGAACGTTATTGGAAATTTAGTTCGCGCTAGTTTTAAACGCAAAGTAGCGCGGCACAGATTGTCGATAATTTGCGACACGCTTTCGAGATGAATTACGCACGTTGAGCATACCGAGTCGTCGCACATTTTGTACATATTAAACCATTAAACAATAGTCGATATAATTCCGCCACCCCTGTTATTTTCAATCTTCTAAATGTACAATTAATTATATCGAGCGAAATAATAACGAATAACTGATAATTAAGTGCAATTAATAATTTAAATGCAACAGGAACAATGACGCGTAAATTACATAAACTAATTACATAAACAATAATGTGCAAACATTGTCGATAACAATATAATAGAAAATAGCATCACACCGCCCATGATGAAATTATTGTTTGAGTTAATTTCGTTACCGTAGAGTATATTGGATCGTATTTAAGAGCGATGCTGTAAACATCATACTTTATTAATAGTGTCGCCCGCCGATAAATAAATGACTATATTTTATTTCCATAGTTTACAATTTACGAATAATTACACACACACACACACATACATACATATACACACATCTCATGTATAAAGAATTTGTGTTTTTCTGTATAGATATTTTGTGACGCACGAGGTGAAACAGGTATAATAAGTTTAAATGTTAAATGTGTCAGGCTGCGTAATATATAATTACGACTTACTATTAATCAATATCAATTTGTTTAACGTGAGAACTGATAAACGTCGTGGAGGTGCTGCGATCAGATGCTGGAAAAGCGAAGTTAGCGGTGTCGTAAAATATATAGCGCGCGAGTAGATTATTCAAATTTATCGAAGGGGAAACCGATGAAAACGAAGCTAATAAGCTGCTTAGACTATGTAATAACTGCGATTCATGCGTGTGTTATGGCGTATGGGGGAATGCCTATATTAGACCCTGAACTAATGTATAACGCCGTGTACGCCTCGCCGCGGAATATTATTTCGTATTCACATGCACGTATGTGTTTACCGTGTGTGCACGGCGCACAGCCTGTGCGCCGCATATATAACCAAGAGTTACAGAAGTGAAAATTTCCCGCTTCGTGTACACCGTGGAAGCTTAACATGCCCGTACCATTTTTCTACCCCTTTTTCCGGCGATAAGAGAGAAAGAGGAGAAGGAGAGAGAAAGAGGAAAAGGGAGGAATTACAAGAGATGACATCGTGGATACAGATTGCACGTACTTAAATAGTCTGAATTATATCCTTCTATTCTCCTCTTAAAACTTGAGTTCTTGATCTTTTACATATACTCTTTCCACGGACACGTTAAAAATATGAAACCGGGATAGCTGTACGTTTCAAAGGTGACTCTGAATGCAATTGCATTTTGGGAAACTTGCACTTCCTCTCACGAACGTTGCATTGAGAACTACTGTAAGCAGAAACGTGGTAACGTAGAAAAATTACTTACAGTAACGATAAAAAATATATTGAGCAATGTAAATATAGTTTATTAACAAGATAGAAAGACAGGGGACGTAACTCCTTACGGTAATAAATGTCAGAAGCGCGCATCTTTTAGATATTTCTTGCACGCCAAATATCAAGACTGCGAGATTGCCAAGATATAATTTTCTCCGCACGTGCTTCTGGCACGAACTCGTCGATTTCCGTACGTGCGATACCGTGGAAAGGAAAGACTAAGGGGGGATTATACGAATTCCCAACGCAATCTAACGGTGATCTTGTCAAAGGAAACCTAGACCAAGGGGGATCATGTAGAAAGAGATAGACATAGCCGATACAATGTTTCGGGAGTACAAATGGAATTTGCAGTTCCCGCGCGCAAAATTGTCCGAATTATTTTACAAGAAAAGGAAACAAATGTATCCGTCGCGCAAAATAGCATGACTCGTGACGACGTATCTTCAGTCGTAAGTTACCTTCGCGTCGGCACCTTATCCGTCAACAGGTTCGAAGCATACAGGCACAAATATGCATCTCACCTATCGCTTTACGCCACTTTGAAAGTAGATTTGCCCTCGCTGCCGTGTGCACAGCCGGCCGGAAGTCTGCAAGCAACGTGAGAAACTCCGGGCAGAAATATCGAACCGTCTTACCGCTCGAGGTGCGCGTTACATTTCCGACGGAAACAACGAAAATAAATAATCAACGTCGTAATGCATACCGTAACGATAAAATATATTGCATATTGTAGAGGCTGGCGATGTAATCGGAATGCGTCGGAATGTCCGCTTGAAAAATGCACCCCGTCCCCGTTTGAATTCGCCGGCGACCGCGGACAATGCTTGTCCGGTGATGTGCAAAATCGCGTGCGACATACGATTGTCTCGCGCGCGCGCGATTTTTGGCCGAGATTATTTCCATATCTGCGAGGAAATATGAATAGGACGTGAGCGCTTTCGAGAAACACGCGAATGCACCGAATCGGCCGTACAAGGCATTATTGGCAGCATATTAAAATTCCTACAATGATACTGACTTTGAAAGTGTGTAATCGACCGGTATTAAACCGGTGATTTGTTGCAGTTTATCCGCTTCGCTGCTCGCTTTTAAGTTAGTTATTAATATTGCACATTGTTTCATGGAAATTTACCGTATTTACGTTACCTATTTACGTTAATTGAAATTAAACACATTTAACACATAATATATTACATATCGTTAAATAACGTACACAATATACTTTCTTTATTATTTAACACTAAAACTACCGAAGTGATTAAAATGACCGGTTTTCTTATAAAAGTTACTCCAATTTTTAATGGTACATTCTTTGAAATCAAACGTAACTTTGATCGCAATGTGTAAATGAATAAATATTTTCTCTTTTGCATTACGTATTTTTTCAAAAATCTTATTTAAACTGCTCCGGTAGAAAGGTACACGCTAATTGTCGGTCATTTTAGTGTTAATATGCCACGGTGAAACAGTAATTTATTATATATAATATATTTCAATATATACTATATGTTTTATAATTGAATTTTGATATATTAACATATTTATATATTTTAAATAATTTTCAAATTATGGTTATGGTGTACTTAGAGAATACAAACATATTCTGAATGAATAATAATATTTAAAATGAAAGAGAAAAATGTCTCACTACGGAGAGAATTAATATCTTTAACTCTCTGATAAATAGCAACTTTCTTCTTATTTACTAGTAAAATAGTTTAACGATTACGTTGAGAACATAATGATTTGTATTAAACAAAGATTGATTTAGTAACTAACGATAGCAAATTCTTATTAGTGCGAGAGATGGGCGAATATTAATCAAGATACCTCCATTTTGAAATTAATTTCATTTTATTCGTGTTTCTATAGGTGAACGGGTCTTGGAGTTTACCTGGATTTGTTTGTGACTTTTACATCGCGATGGATGTGACCTGCAGCACTAGCTCTATATTCAACCTCGTCGCTATTTCCATAGACAGGTAAATATTTTTTGTTTGTTCATACAAAAATCGAAAATTGCAATCTCGAGGTTTCGAATATTGCTATATTCAATAAATATTTTTATATTTAATATTTAATATTTTTTATCATTACACCTTCAAAATGTAATTTATTAAATGCAGCTTGTCGAAACCATTTAACATATTACTTATAAAACTATATACGGACGATTTAAAAATATTATTTTATACCTAATGTACACTTGTGGGAAACGTGCGGAATATAAAAATGTATCATGGATCAATTTTTTAAAATTGTAAGATTTCGCTCAATTTTTTGTGTATGTCTAAATAAATAAACTGCCTTGATAGAAATTCAGCACGATTTTCCACGTTCTTCGTTAAATTCTGACAGTTGGGAGTTTGAGTGTGCGCGTTTGGCTTTCTGCCATTCTTGTCGCAGAGGGGACGCGATGATTATCGGAAAAGTTCGAAAATCAGAAAAAGTGGGATAGGCTGATTTTACTGGTTTACGTGCTTCGAATAAGACAGAAGCTCCCGTGCCTCCCAGATACTTAGAATGCGGTTCGCTGATAAAAGAATCAGTTATATACTGGTCGTAGAAGGACGAGAAGGAATGTTCTAATTTGCCGCTACAGTTTTTTTTTTAGTAAATGGAGAATCATTTACGTCATAGAGAAAACGATCACAATCAATAAAAGAAGTTACTGGTATTGTGTTCGAGAAAGTACATAAGCCGGAAAAGTATATATAAATTGCGTTCTGAGCGATATTCATCCGATAACGTTTACGTGGTTTCGTATTGTTGAATTATGGATAAGAATAGCTGTAACGCCTACATTGTGGTTTTTTTCCTTTCAAATACAATCGCCAAAAGGTTGGTTAATAAATTGATAAATGGATAAACAAGATTGAACAATTGCTCAGCGATGCGATAAGCGCTATGCGTTGTATCAATGATTCGATTCTACAAGATTACGTTGTTGTTAGGTAAAAGTAGGTAGATAGACAAATTACTCATTCAATTCAAGCAATTTTCCGCTTGAAGAAATCTGCCATACACAATAAGAGATTGTCGTGAGCGATGCCAAGCTGGCTGAAAACATTTTAGGCGACTCAGCAAAGAAGCTTTCGACTTTAAGACTGTTTTGCACGATCGCTCCCGAACTTCGGAAACGATCGACCAGAATGGCTTGAAAATAGTTTAACGTTTATGTTCTATTTCCTCGACTTTCCTTTTCCATATAAAACAAAAAGAAGAGAAAACTCGTATAAAATAAACCACAATTTTGCTCATAAACAACAAAAATATATGTTTAATATTCGTGTAACTAAGATATTAATTTTAAAGCTGATCTACGAAAAATCGATCCAATAAATAAATATAGTGTATTATAGGTTACGTGAACTGCAGAGCATCCAAGATATGCTTGAAAGTGATCCGTATTGAAAATTATCCTTATATTTATTTATCACGTTCAAATATTGAAATTTGGAGTTTCGTTCAGATTCTACTATGTTTAGGACTTATTCGATGGTCCTGTTTCGCTCAGAAAGATATATCGTTAAAGATCGTTAAAGATAATAATCAACTGAACCAACAACGTTAAATATAGCTGCTAATCGCACGAGATACACGGATTCGGCAGGGTGGATGAGACCGGAGCGTCGCCGGATTTGCCCGCGGACGGTTTTACGGCGATTTAATGCCCGCCGCGTGCGTGGGGAGTTGCAACGCATGCGAAACGGATTTGAATTACAGATACATAGCGGTGACCCAGCCGATAAAGTACGCGAAGCACAAGAACAATAGAAGAGTTTGGCTGACGATATTGTTGGTCTGGGCGATATCGGCCGCGATCGGCAGCCCGATTGTCCTAGGCTTGAATAACACCCCTAACCGGATACCGGACCAATGTCTGTTCTACAATACGGATTTTATCATCTACTCGAGCCTCTCCAGCTTCTACATACCCTGCATCATCATGGTATTCCTCTACTATAATATATTCAAGGTGAGAGGCAGAAAACGGCATAATTCTTCGCGCCCGAACTCGACATCCGTATGATCCTATGTTTTTCCGTGTTTCTCACAAAAAAGAGCTGGGGGATGTGTGAAAATCGTTGTTTAAAAATCTCGCACAGCACTGTGTATTCATGTGGCACAGCTCAGGATGTCAGCATTTCATGATCGGCGCGTTATCGCACGTAGCGGTCATACTTGTCCTCCGGCTTCTATGTCATGAAACTCGAGGAAATTTATCTTTTTGTTTAAGTCGAAGTTTTTATCACAAGATTACGCGACCTTTTTATACGTACATCTAAAATATAGTATACGAGGGGAAAAAATGTTCTTTCAGGTAGGTTGAGAAACGCTGATATTAATAGGTCAGGCCGTCTAGCGGAAAATATAAGATCATACGGTTAATCGAAATTGCGCGTCAAACAAATATATAGATTAAACAAATTGTCATCGCACTCCGTCGTTGGTGCAAATTTCAAAACTATAGAAATTTTAAAGCGACCATTGAAAAGTTGCGATTTAATAATTACGCGCCTAAGTGTAATTGTGATAGATAGATATTGCAATCCTAGGGATCGATTCTTTTCCCGATAAAATGAAACCTTAAACCGAATTGTTAAAATTATATTTGCACTGAATTTTAAAAAGTTATACAATACGTTGCATAGCAATTGTACAAAAAAAAGCGATTTGTAATTCATCGCAAGGAAAATCGATAGTTGTCTTTGTAGTTGAATTGACGCGTGCACGCGCGATGACAAGACGCAAAGGGAATTATCTCCTGCTCCGTTGCAAAAGCGCAAAAATTTATTCGCGCCTCTTTTATCTCGGTGATTAATTCAGAAACGTGAACTGATCGCGAAATTGGCCGCACCATGAAAGGCAACCCTTGTGAGGGCAAATCCGCTGTCTTCGTAATTTAATTGTCACGTGTACTCGTATGACACGATGCCGCTGGAATAAATTCTTGTCTTTGTTACGAGTGGTGCAATTTTTTGAAACTACTTTTGAAGCTACCTCTCTCTTTAGAATTAAAAGAGGTTTCGCGGAAAGAAAGAATAAAATAGTTGTAATACAAAAGTTGATATAACATAACAAGTATGTTACAGCCGAAATCATAAGACTATAACATAGTCGAATAAACTCGTATAGTTTTAAAATGGAATAGAGATTGAAATTCGGACGTTTTCAGCAACACGATGTAACGGATGATCTCAATGGGCTTTAGATATTAGATGTTACATATTCTAATTAATGCTATTGCTGATAAAATTGTTGACATTTTATAGGGATTAATTGTGGGCTTAGAGATGGAACAAATGCATTGCGGTTGACGCCGCGGTTGTAATTATATTGCGGTTGATCATAAATACGACTAGTCTGACAATTTCCGCTGTGTGCAGTATGTGGAATATTTCAATTGGACTGTTAATTTCATACTTGTGGCAGTTGAGCGCGGATAATACCTGTGAAATATCGTAATAATATTGATACACGGCCTTTGTTTTCAATATAATGTTACCATGTTATGTTTCTGTGTAGTATCATGAGTTCACACTCTTCACAAAACCGACTATGCATCATTAAGAATTCATTGTCGACTAACATTTTTAAATTTTGCAAAATTTAAATGAAACGTAGAGAAAAATAAAAAAAAATAAAAATAACTCCAACAAATTTGATTTTTCAGCATTTTAGTGAAGAACGCAAAATTTTACTAAATGTTTTATATTTTATTACAACTTCTAAATTTATAATAAATTTTGTTTTAATCATCTAAATATTTTTCAGAAATCTTGTAAGTAAACGTAAGTATAAATTCATCTAAAGCATGAGCAAAAAAATTACTTGTTAGTTGACGTAGGAATTCACTATACTTACTCATGATCTTGTTATTGACATTAAAAAATTCTCAAATTTGCAAAAAGAAAAAGTTTGTAATATTTATTTTTCGGGTGTAACAATATATTATGAAAGATTCGTTTTTCCTATAAAAATGACAGCATGAAAATGTACTTTCCAAGGGCGTTATCGTAAAGTGTGAATATCGGAAAACACATAGACTTTCTTCTAAACTTACAAGAGAAACGAAACTCTTTTCAATACAGCTAAATCGACAGCGAAATATTATAATGCTTATCGGTGCACAGATTTTCCTACGTAAAACCATCTAGATAAATTTTGTTATATTCCGCTGTATAGGTGTTCGATAATACATTTCAGGCGTTATCCGCAGGAATTTCACGTAAAGATTTATATTATACGTTTATATCTTACGTTTACAACCTCTCAACTAATTTATGTCACAATGTTTCAATTGGCCGTTTCAGGCTCTGCGAAATAGAGCGAAAAGGGCTCGTGCCAGCAAAAAACCGAATTTAGGCGATATAAAACCGGGAAGCATCATCGAGAATATCGCTCACACGCGAAGGTGAGTACTTGACTATAGATCGCTTGTTACATATTTAGCAATCAGTTTTCTTACGCTATAAAAGTTACAGCGAATACGATCGATATCTGTAGTTTTGCTTCCAAAGGTGTTCTTTCATTAACTTATGCGCATATTCGATTTTCCGGTCGTCTTTAGTTTAACAGGAGAATTCGAAAATTTAATTGAAAACTCTTGTCAACCAATGTTGCCTCATCAGCAATATTAATAATTTCGAAGCACGAACAAAAGCAATCTCGTTGGTAACGTTACGAGACATTTTTAAACAACATTTTTGTTTATTACGGGATACACAGTAGATGAAAAAAACTATATTGACGATCGAATCATGCTGTACCTTTTATCGATACTGCTTAGCACGTAACGCATGCAAATACATGTATCAACGTCTGTTTCCTTGCTCTGGCTTGCTCTAATTACATATCTAAGTGAGTTTTCGCAAAGAAGCGGACATATGTTTAACATAGATTAAAATCTGATAGATAACAATTCATTAATATCTTGCGTAAACAAACCGAATTGAACGAACATTCTTACCCCATGGGTGTGTATTCTCATTCAACCATTGTTTCTCAGAATACAAGCGATGCCGTAAAAAATCGAGCGAAGTACGATTTATAAACCTTTTGTATAAATGTTCTGCCATGCATCTTTGAACCGCTGCGTTCTCGACCCTTGTGCCTGCAGGTCTATAAATTCTTGGATTTTTAACTCTTCGTGTCTCTCGGTACTATTTCTCGGGTTGTTGAATACGTAACTGCGCGAGTAGACTTTACTCTCAGAATAATCCATTAAATCATGGAATCTCAGCGTTTCAGTTTTAACATGAATAATCGCTCACGCAAAGTTATGTCTACTATTTCTTACTTAATATATAAATGTGTGATAGATTTTTCTCTCGCGTATACCACCACGGCGGATTTACGAATTGATCCGCGGCGAATCGTTCCACTGGAAATCGCCTCGCGGGGAAATTTATTCATGTGTTGTTTTCTTATGCGGCATTATCCGGCCTTCTTGCAGTCGTGTTAAGCGCGAGAACAAGCCGCTTTCATTTGGAGCGTGTTGCACGCCCGATGTGCCCGACAATTCTTTTCAATTTTCGCGACCGCGTAAGGCTTGCATTCCAACGAGACAATCTCTCGTGGAGATTGGTGCCAGCTGGAGCGAACTGAAAGATGGTGTGACCGAGGGTTAAGTCCCGAGCATCCCCGGATAATTCGCTTTTCTCGCACGCTCTCGCACGTGCTTTCATTTCCGCCTTGCTGACGAGGTCAGCCTCGTCTTGAATATCCAACTACTTCAACGCAGCTTAATCGTCGGTCTTTTCGCTCGCATCTGCTCGAGTATACGTCTCGTTACATTTTACTCGTTCATGCTTCGCGATGTAATTGACGTCAAAGCTTTTGTAAGATGAATATTATTGTGAAAGGTGTGCTTCATGGATATTTAAAATTTTCTGCAAATATACAGGGTGATCTTTAAGTACTCAGCCATATTCAAGGGGGCGATTCTTCTTTATTTTAAATAAAAATGTTCACATAACCATAAGTTCACATAAACATGTGTCCTAAATGGTTTAGTTTCCGAAATACAGAGTGTTAAGGTTTTCAGGAAAATCTTCAGGAAAAGAAATATTATAGCTCAATAGACATGTGTGCTCTCTCGTCAATATCTTTAGTTAACTAAAAAGATTTTCGAAAAATACGAAGGTCCTTCGTTAAGTAGTTGAGACCACGTGATGAGAGTGCGACGAAGGTAAACAAAACTTTCTAACAAACTTTTGTTTACTTTCCTTCCATCGAAGAGTGCAGAAAATCTTTAAGTATTTAAGCGCTTAAACGCGGAGAAAGCACGTACTTGGGAAAGCAACCGAAGAGCAAGACTGCCGCAGTAAAACAGAACGTGGAAGAATGTATCTTAGATTAAGGCAGACCCAAGTCGAAATTTCGATTTTATATTAATCCTGCAAATTCTATTGAACTTGAAGAACTGAAGAAAAATATCGTGATATAACACTGTACATTCTACTTCCCCACATTGATGCTACCAATGATTACTTACTCCCATTTTTCCGATATGAAAAAATCATCTCTCAATTTTCCCCATATTCTACTTGCATTAATTTTTATTCTTTAATTTTCATAAGCCAAATTTTAATCGATATGTCGATATGAGAGCTCAATTAAATATTTTAAGATAAAATAACAACTAACGTTCCGGTATACGTATTTCGCGGTACTCGCAGTGTGTATGTTGTTCGTCGGCCCGAAAATAATAACTCGCCTACGGAAAAAAATACGATATTCTAGGATACCAAAACAATCGGTAAAAAGGGCAAAGTCCTGCCAATCGTCAAACGTTGTCGTCCGTTAGTGACGCGTATATTCGGTGATCGAGAAATCGTTACAATCAACACGCTCAAAAACATTCCGAACTTTCGAAGTGTCATCAATGTTGTCAGAATGGTACGTATCGAAAATTTCGTATAGTATCCCGTAGTATTCGACGATAGTCGTCAGTTAATATACGATCGTTAGTTAAAGTTGCGTTTCCGGTCGAATCGTGTTTTCGCATGGGACTATTGAATGCTTGATCACGATAACGAGCAAAGCTGATTCCCCAGGACGAGATATAGAATGTAGCAAGATGTGGCGGTAGCTGACGATGAGGTTTACAACTACCTTTTCAACTCTTTTGAATTTCTAAATCTCATCGAAATTTTTGACCCAAATAAAAGCTTTTTCGTCTCTCGTGTACTCTCGTAGTATAAAATATTCAAAGGCCTCGGTAATGCTTACATCATAGAAAATAAAAGATCTCGTTTTACTGCAGTTATAATTAATTTCGATGATGTTGCATAATGATAATAATTTAATCGATTTTTGTCTCTCCTACCGAATAATAGTTCTGCCAATAACACGAAGATAAATAGACCACTTAATTTAGTCAGACAGAGACGATTTGTGGTAAATGACGCTTGATGAAACTTCATTTAATTTAATAGTTATTTTACGTCAAAGCGTATAATCCGCAATTAGCTTTAGTTGTGATGTTTACAGCACGTGTTGTCTTTTTGTTGTCTCGCTTAGTTGTTCGCTTTTAACAAACGACCAGTGATAACGCTCCTCTAGGGGAATTAACGGCCCTCTTAGCTTCATTCCAGCTGTGATCGCATTCGCGATGGTGTGACGTTCAGCCGCCATCGATAAATTAGACTTAGGTGTTTACAGTCGCGGTCGTAATTTGGTAACTTCGTAGCGCGTTTTGGTATCTCTCCCGGGTAAAATATATCCGACATAATCTGGCATCCCGGGTTAATCCTCCACATGCACCTACGCTGGGCGCATTGTCCATTTATCGACTTTGTTGATCACGTAGACCGAAATTCGGTAGAGACCACTGAAATTTTGATATTTACGCTGACAATCTAATGCACGAATCCTGTTGCGCGGCACGTGTATCTTACCCCCGTGCTATTTACGTGTGCACACGTGGGGCTTTTATTACGTTCACCCCGGTACCATAATTAATAATTATCCCGTGAGCGATGACGCATATAAAATCGAAACCATGCTTCCGTTGGCTCGCTATTAAATCGAGATAAAGGAAAATTTCGATTTTAATCAAGACTACAGAAATTTATCAATAACGCAACCACCCTTCGTGTTAAATTCTAACGATATATTTAATGGTATAAACAATTTAATGATACATGCATATTTGAATGCAAGTCGATCAAAAAATTCTCAATCGATACGGCTGGCGGTTTTGAGTTTTATAACTTGCGATCTGTTTCCTAAAATCTTTTTATAAATCACTATGAATCCCACCCATAAAACGTAATCCAATTTAATAACAAGATTACGATATTTATTATGATCTTGCGAACTAATTATCTATCTCGCGAGCGAAGCGAGGAAAGAATCAATTATTCGAGACTCGTCGTGAGAGAAAACCGCTACGCTCTGTCACTCAGGAACTTACAGGTGCTGTTAAAAAGCGCGACGTCGCTTTGTGCATGGTAGATATGCTACTTGGCGGATTAATGCTGGAAGCTGCCGGGAAAGAAGGAAGTGCATGATAGGTGTAGAAGCTTTTCTAGAGGCTTTTGACTAAGATCACGTAGTGGGTATTCTGTGGCAAGGTTCGCGGAGACGGCGTTGGGGGCGGCCGCCCTGGTGGCTCCTGGGATCGAGGAACCGACGAACACCGCTTCCGGCAGCAATGAGGACGAGGACGAGACGCCCCTCGATCCCGTCGTCGTCATCTCCAACGACAAGAGCACGGAATTCTTTCTAGCTACGGTCGTCGAGGAAGCAGCGTAAGAATTTCATCATATCTTATCACTCGTATCCGCGTATAGTGCTTCCGCGAGCGAAAGCTGGATGTCGGAATTCCCTTTCAGCGATATCGAATCTCACGCATTGTCATACCAGCTGCGCGACGTAACTCGTTGCGCGCCAGCGCGAAAAGTCGTACGAATACGTCATCTCTGAGACACGGTTACTGTCTTTGAGGTTAATACTTCGTTTGAAATGTGTGCCGCTCTGCGGCGGCAGCACAGCATGAGTCGCGACCAAAGTGGATTACAAAGCCGGAAAGAGGACTCTCCTATTTGTTAGCGATGTCCAATATTTACCGTCGACAAATGCATCGCGTTGAACGACGATGAAAATGCCGTAACTTTTCTTTTGTCCCGATTATTATAAGAGTTCCTGGATTCAATAATGATGCGCAATAAGAGCTCTTATCTTTCATTTAATAAATAGAAAGATTGCACTCTCTCTTGTAACAATTCTTGTTTCACATGGCATGAAATTTTTGATTTTTTTTCTTTTCAATACTATTAACAAAGAAGCACCGTATCAAAACAGCTTAACTTTACTTTGAATACTTTCGTAAACTTTCCTTTTGCCGGGGAATGCGCAAAATAACTTCTATGAAATGGTTTATATGTCGAGTGCATAATAAAAATCATGATTTAACTGAAATACAAAAGATTCATCTTTTAACTGTAGTTAAGCTTCCAGAAATAAAAGAACTGTTTAAATTCGCGATTTTCCAGAAGGCGACGTGTGTAATATTCCATTTACATGTAAAATATAAAGAAAGAAAACCGTTCGCATTTACCTTGACTAATAATCGTTTTCCATTCTTTCAATTTTTATTAAACGTCGTGAAAATGATTTAATTTACATTGTTATCGTGCCACAGCTTATTTTTTTAATTTTCTTTGATTGTGACATCAATTTAAAAGAATCACGAAACGCGAAATTAAAATAAAGCTTAGAAGAGCTTATTAATGTCAAATTAGACTCGCGACCCTTGCGCAACTTGACCTACAAACTAAAAAGTATTTCATCGAACGACCGCGTGAACTTTCCGGGGAATTATATGATTCCTATGCGATGTCGTGCGGCAAATGGGATTTGCGAAATTTTTCGATCGGCCAGTCGGCAGGCGGTACGAGAAGGTGGACTGTGTGCTAAACAACCGTAAACGAACACAACGATACGATCAGGTGTAGCGGTGGCAAGCAATAATTGTTTCCTTACTCTGTCCAAAGAATTCCGGGCTAATCGAGAAGGTTTCGAGTCAATCAAAAGTTCAAGCCTACTGTTTAATTGGCCAATTGGAGGCCTCCAATTAAAAGGAATATTACCTCCGCTTCGCGTGCCGCAATGTTTGCGTCGCCATACACCGTTCTATTGCGCGATGTCTTCGGGTTACTTGTAACGTGAGAATAATTGTTATTTTATTCCTAGCTAGGGACGATCACTATTTCGAATTTTCTTGATCTTTTTTCCGAATAGAATATCTGCAGTAATAAAGCATGTAGTCACGATACATAAATGCATAAACTGCAAATGCATAGAAACTGGTTAAATGTACGTAACGTAATTCGAATGAATAATATAGAATGCAAAAATACACCAAGCGAATTAGTTCGCGATTTTCTCTTCGCCAATTCAAAACGATTGTAATTTTATATGCGAGCTGTTTTGAATTAAGGATGCAATGATAATTTGATAATATCAAAATGTTGATATATCGTGGATCAATACCGATAATTTATCAATAATATATATTTTTCCGATACATCGTTATATCGATACTAATTTCAAAGATATTCTGTGATTTGCAATTTATCCCGCTTATATCCAATTTTACCAACTTTACGGCGCGGCACGGCTAACAAGTTGAACGTTCAAGCGCGCGTCGGTGATCGAACGAATCGAAAGTATTCGCGAGCGTGGAAGAGCACAATGGGGCAGGTGATGAAACGCCGGTGATTTCGCGGTTCGTTCGTTTTCTCTCGGCGACCCAGGCACAATGGTAGGCCGGCGGCTGGCCGGTGAGCTTTCCTCCGATTTCCATGGCCCGTGCAAAGCTCGCGCACAATACTTGTTTGATGGAAACTCGTCGCTCCGATAGTAATCCGGAAGTTTGCGGGCTAATCGCAACAGACGGTTCCTTTGTACTGGCGTGCGCGAGCAATTTGCATATAGCTGTTCGTGTTACCTTTGAGAGCCGGCCAATCAAACGCCGACGGGCATTTCACAGTTATTAATTAGTGTATACTTTCGCGCGGCATCTCGTTTACCATCGTGTTTACCTCGAGCTTGAGAGACCAGGGTTGTATGGGCGTTTACCCATAAAATGCAAAAGTTTGCGTCTGCGTGTAGACAATATAAACTATGTATACTGTGTCGTTCACAATAAGCAATCAACGAACCGTCAGGGAATGGCTCATCTTCTTCTCACATTTCGTGAATCTTATTTCTATATTTTACTTGTGACAAAACTCACAGATAAACTTGAATTATAACATTTGTATATTAATACCATGTATATCACCATTTTTATATCTATAGAAATCTCTTAAATATGCGTAAAATGAATCATATTTAACTTTACTTAACCTAATCTATCATAACTTGATAAAATGATTTAGTTTAAACACAACGGCGCAAATTTAATTAAACGAAAAACCAATATTGGATTTGACAAACATGATTTCACACTGATAAAAAAGGAAAATAAGTATTATACATATTGTGTCTATTGTGACAATAAATTATAAGGAACATTGCCTTCTCCCGTTTAAAAGCCCGCATGAATCTAAATGATAAAATTTCTGTGTTATTTGTACGTGACACACATACACACACACTTTTCAATTTTCAATATTATACATACCTTCATAATTAACAACAAAATCCAATATATAAACTATTTTATAGTTTAAACCAGAATTTAAACTGACAACTTATTCTTTCTTATGTAATTTATATTTTACACAGTTTACATTGTCTGCGTGGAAGAGGTCCGTGTAAAAACATTACGTAGACAATATATAAATTCTTCACGTAGACGTAATCGTAAAATCTACGGCACAACCCTTGGTCTGTTCTCTATAGTTGAACTGACTGCACTAGCCGGTACCAGTTCTATTTCCCCCTTTTTTTTATGCGAAGCCTATACATCTGTTTCTTTTCAAGTTCCGAAAGCGCGCAGTTCGGCGATAAAGAACAGACGTCCTAAGAGAGACTAGTGCGCTCGGTGGGGCCGGCAACTTTTTACGCGCCACAATCTGCGACTAGATATGAATACACTTGAAGCGTGATGAGTGGTCGAGTCTTCCTGACACTCGAATCGCAGTTGTCGTTTCAGTGCGGTGGCGCAGGCCCAGCTGACCGGGACGCCCCACGTGCGGAAGGACTCCGGCTACGATGGCGCGGCGAGCAGCACGATGATCCACGAGCCGCTCGAGACGAACTCCAGCCCGAGCCCGAACCCGCGGATCACCTCGGCGCCGTCCTCGTCGACCTCGTCCTCGCCGCCGCCGACGAGGGGTCCCACCAGCGTCTCGTCGCAGACGAAGAAGAACGGCAACGGCAGCGCGAACAAGCAGGAGCTCAAGAGGCTGAGGAGCGCCGGCTCGTTGTTGCCGCTGCAGCTCGCGAGGACGCCCAGCGTGCTGTCGTCCGCCGGCAAGAAGGACCGCAAGAACGCCTCGGCCGGGTCAAGGTTCACCATATACAAGGCCAACAAGGCCAGCAAGAAGAAGAGGGAGAAGAGTTCGGCCAAGAAGGAGCGCAAGGCCACCAAGACTCTGGCGATTGTGCTAGGTGGGTTACTCGCGTGTTGATAAGCCGCACCGCCTCTGCATCCGTTATCGATGCGCTCGGACGAGAAATAGCGGAGGTAGCGGAAATAGATCACGCATGTGAGAGTCCGAAGCACGGGTAAGGGGGGGGGAGTGGTTTAAAAGCCGAGAGGTCGAGAGATTAGTTACACGGCGATTTGATCGGACCGGGCGATATCTCGCAGCCGTAACTACTTTTTGCCGGTAATAAATCGGCGCTAATACGTTTCGATGCGAGCGCTTATTGCCGTTTCGCGAGTTCGCGGTCGGACGGTGAAATTGATTCGCCCGAGGCGGATAACGCGGGGAACGTGTCATCGCGGAATGGAGGCCGGGAATGAGCGCTCGCTCGTCCCCTCGGCGCGCCGGCTGGGAATCTTGACATTAAGAATCGGAAAGCCTCCTCTCGCCTGAACACAACGTCAGCGTACGGAAGTGGGATTAAGCAGACAGTTTGTGTCTCGCAGCAGTCCTTTGACATATAAGACATCAAAGGAGGAGTTAATAGCAGGCGTCGCTGGGAAGTCCCCGCCGTATATTCGATGCGTTAAAGCCGGTAACGTAATATACTTCGCGTACTAAACAAAGCGCTGGAACATCGCAGCTCTGGAGAAAGCAATAACAGTTAATTCGTCATTTACAGCGTAGACACTGATTGCAATTGCACCATTTTCAGCAGTAAATACGTCGAGTTACTAAATGGATAAAATCTCATTACCAACTAGCGCTTTGTTCGGAAGCTGTTTCGATTCGTTTTAAATTAACGAGGCGCATAAAATAATCGCCATGTGGGAATGAAACGTATTTTTTGAAGTATTAAATAAATAAACATTATCGTAATTAATACCCGACAGGGGTCTTTCTGATATGCTGGGTACCCTTCTTCACCTGCAACATCATGGATGCGATCTGCACGAAACTGACGAAGGCCTGTCAGCCTGGTGTTACAGCTTTCATCGTTACCTCCTGGTTGGGTTATATGAACAGCTTCGTGAATCCCGTAATATACACTGTGTTCAACCCCGAATTCCGCAAGGCCTTCCGCAAGTTGATCAGCGTGTAAGCGAGCGATTCGTCCTCCTAAAGAAGAGCCACGGGCCGACAAACGTGACTCTCTCTCGGTGAATCGTCGTATTTGTGATGTAACAACGAGGCTCTAGGCTCTCGCAACAAGCTCGCAACAGGTACTGTTGTCCTCGTATTTGGAATCGCAACAGCTGCGTTTGCGTATCGGTTTTCGCGTTCCGTCGCGCGTCAATCGTTACCAAGTGTAAGAGGAAAGTTGCATCTCGCGCGACATTTTCCATTCTCCGAAACTCGGGAAACATTTCCCGCAGCGTAGAAAGGAACGGGGACGTTATTTTCAACGAGTGTCCTTTGAATCGTACGTTTCGCGAGAATTATTTATGCAGGCCACTGGAAAAACGCAACGCGGATCGCACGAATAGGAAACTCTGTCTCCGTTTGCGTTTTATGAATTCTTTATGCGCGTATACGCGCTTCGAAAGCAATCATTTATTATTTGTAACACGATTTTCTTTCCTTCATTTTTCTATTAAAAAGTCCCCGCGGCACTGAGAAAATGCGCGTTATTGGGAAGAATCATTTTTCATTGGTATCTCGCACGCGTACCTGACGGAGGATAAAAGTTTCACTCCACTTGGTCAAGATTGGCACGCGATGAGATAGGAGGGAGGTAATTAGCCGGCGGTAATTGTTGCTATCGAACACAGCAACGATTCACCGCGTCTACGTCGATACGTGAATGCGTGCATTATGATATCGAGCGGACGTAGCGTGTCGCGCTACGAGGACACGCCAGGACATACGTGCACCGACGATGGAACTGAATTCCCGCACGAGTAGCTCAAATAATTGCTAAGTGAAGCTTCGCGCAACAGAACGCCGCGAGCCGATGAGCCGCGCGGTGCCGTCGTATTGCCGCGGATTCGCAAAGAGTTTAGATAATCTGTACAAATCGCGTGCGACATGCGTTTTTGGCGTCCAAAGGACTTCATTAGAGAGGCTGGCTAGCTAGCTGTTAAGGTATAATAATCGCGCAAAGGACGGACATCCCTCGGAAATAATTTAAGTTCGCGAAAAGTAGTTTATAATCGAGAGACTCGTGATGGCGGAGGGTTAAAGTTGTTAGAGGTGTATTTATTATGCGAGCATATATTACACGTACACACTATACGTCTCCGTGGATAATTAAGTACGCCATGACAGTATTAACGTAGCGTGTAAGATATAGCAATATTTTTTCGCTCAAAGCAAAAAGCAACTGAGACCGCCGTTTGTACGACGATACGTAGAAACACGCTATACATACTCGCGCGTCGCAGTGTAACTGTATGTATTTATATTTCGGTACACGTATGGAGAGACAGAAAGAGGGAGAGAGAGAGAGAGAGAGAGAGAGAGAGAGAGAGAGAAAGAGAGAGATTATACATATACATACATACATAAATGAATTTACGCGCCGTTCCTTCCACGATATACAGGGTGATGTCAAGCGCGGGGTAGAAGCTTTAGGACAACACGAAGATTGATTTTTGGAAACAGTGTACCTTGTAAACACTAGCTTGAACGCTCTATTTAATAAGTTATTATCAAATACCAAAATGTAATTACTTCTGAGTTACAGCGGAGGGGAGGTGTTTAGCGAGACCCGTGCATTAATCAAAAATATAAGCTATTTTTCTGAACACCTGAATACTAAGGAGAAAGACGGTTAATTCAACTTGTGATCTCTCATTATTTTTGTGAATACACTTACAAAGGAATAAATAGGAATTCACATCATCCAATCGCCTTTCGAAAGTTTTTCGTATCATGACAAATTCGGGATACTTAATCGACACTCACACACACGAGTATTTCAGGGCTTCTCAATTCCGCATTCCTCTTCTACCATATCTTTGTCATCGTAAAAATAAATATTACATCAACGCACGTGAACAATATTATTGCAATTCTTTCTCTGCCTCATATTTATTTTTAACACAATAACATATTTGTACGTTTAGATATTATAAGTTTTTCTCTCTTACAAATAGACAATAATTAAATTACATATTTTAAATTGAGATTCAAAACCATAGTGGAAGTGGATATATATCATGTCTGTTAAGGGGTAGTTTATGTGTAGAAGGACAATAGGCAGACAAGTTTACAATAACACGCAACGCTTAATTCTAATAATATTCGTTTCCATTTCTACTATCAATTCTATATCAATTCAGTGTATCATAAATGCCGGCACATTCGTCCCAGATTACGTTCCGTTTTTTTAGACAGACTGTGTAAAACCATGTTACTCGACTGCGCAATGTCGGATATTCCTGTACCGGGCAACGAGCATGCGAATAAATAAAACGGACGGGACGCGGGGATTGAGAAACCCTGACATACATTATTTGACGATTTTACATTCACTCTTACACTTGCAGGTTTGACTCGCGAGCATGGTACGGGCTCGATCGAACGACGAAATACCGGGACTCGTTCCGACCGCTTCGGTGCTCCGATACCGTAGGATTTGCCGCGTATTCCGACGGTACGAGGCTACGAATCGTATGAATAATCAGGCGGACTTGGGACAATGACAACGGTGTACGCGAATATCGGAAACACAACTCTCGGTTTCCACGGTTCGCTCGAGTGCGAGGGTATTTCATTCGCAGTATCACGATTCACGGTTTTACATCTAAATTACACGCTGCGTCGTCGTATCAACCCTTTGTAAGGCGGAATACGGTTGGGGGGTTATTCCGCGAGGATAAAGTCCGCGCAAAGGATCGACGGTAAAAGGAAAAAGGTACCTTGAATTAATCGAGAGCGTAGGAAACGAGCGAAGAACTCTGAGAGGGTAAGCGCGAGCGCGTGGTTCATTATCGAGTTTCGCACCGACGAAGAGCTTCTGCTTCGCAAGCTGAGAGTTGCGCGGCCGAGAGAGCGGTTTCTCGAGACATTCTGGAAGCATGTCCCAAGTTTCGACGATCCTTCACCGTCCTCTGTTTGCGGTCAAGCATGGAGCTCGCCACGACCGAATTTCCAAACATATCAGTACGAGTATGCAGCGCGATAAGCTGTTCGGGCGTCAACTTCCTTCGAGGATGCGCTTTCACGCATGACGGCGGACTACCGAGACGCTAACTGGCATATTATCGAACGAATTAACCCGAACACTGTGCTATGTTTTTCTCTCGGAGCGATCGGCCGTGTTCCAGCCAAGACTTTCTCATCGAACTGTGAAACGTTTCCGGAGACGGACGTTCGCCCGTTGTAGTCATTAGATTCAGCCGTGACGTGTTACTCGGTGTTAGAAGAGATACGGGAGTTTCGTTTCGCAGCACTCGGCTGATCTTGATCGCTTAATCCTTCCAGATATGACGAAGAGGCGGTAGAAAGCAAACATGTAGCGGCAGCGGCGATGTCACCGGCATCGAGTGTTACCACATCGTTTGATCGTTAATTAGATCGCGTCGAGTTGAACAATCTCAATCTTGATCGTTAGGTCCGCATTTCAACGACTAATATTTGGCCGACGTAATGGCCGAGCATCTCGAAGCCCGTGTAAGCCGAGAATGCGCAGATCGCCTCGGGTTTCCGAACGTGAACAAGCATAGATCCGAGTGTGGCGTGAGTAATCTGACGGTAGCGTTTCACAGTTCCCCTAATATTAAATTACCGGCGATGGTATTAGATTATATTAGAGTTATCTCGCGCTGAATGCACGCGGTGCAGGATCAAATCGGAGTCCGGATTACCGGCAGAGACCGGCGGAGCCGTTGCGAGCAAATCACTACCAATCGCGATCGTTGGGTTCGATATACGTTTACGCGCGTCCTGTGCTGTTGCAATAACGTCTAACAATCAAAGCTTTTTATCCCATCGGTTTTTTCGAGCGCTGTACGACGTAGTTCTAAGCTTTCCAATGTACATTTGTAAATATTCTACGAGTTTCACGAGCGGCGCCGCCAGTCCTATCGTACGGCTTCGCGTTACACGTGGCGCGGTTAACGACGGGGATCCGCTTGATTTAGGTGACGATTCGCACGCCCGTAAGCCCGGGACGAGTGGGTCGCCGTGCGATAAACGAGAAACGCGGGTCCGAGCCGCTCGTCGCGATCGGTCAGCTTCCTGTGCGCGCGGCACGTGTATATATATTTCGTGAAAAACGGGGAAATTGCTTTTCCGAATTCTTCGCGCTCTGACGTCAAACGAATCGCCAGTTCGAAAACAGCGCCCACGACGTTCCCTTTTTCACCTTCCTCGCTCACCCCCCCCTTCGGCAATTCGCAATGATGTTTTTCACCGTTCCACCTTTCGCGATACAGGGTGTTTCAGGATTGCAGGTGACAATTTCCCCGGCTAATGCGGACTTGCTCGCTGTTTCGGCACGTTCGGTATTAGCGAGTGCTGGCGCGCTGTGTATTGCGCCCACGTCAGCTGGGTCAATGACCGTGCGGTCGAGCGGCCAGCTGACATACGCGTTCCAATCGCGTAACGCCGTTACGTAACGCCGTCGGAACGTGGACTTTCCCCTACTCCAATGCCCGTGTCAGCTGGCCGGCCGACCGCCGCGTCCTTCATCTCTCTCTCGCGCGTGGTATACATCACTCCGACATTCGTTGATACCAGAAGTTTAGAGGACCGTAATTCTTGAACGAATCTACGCGAGAGATACGACGCAAAAATCGGCCGCAATCTCCTTGGCTTTTAATATCAATCCAGAGGATGATAGCAGTGAACGATGGGAAACGAGAAATTGCCTCGGTCGCTCAGTAAAATACGATGATTATTTGAAGTGAGCAATTAATGAGTTCAGATAGCGCTGAAAATATAAATAAAGGGTCATTCGACGATACGTCACGTCACGAGAGGGGGGGAGGGGTCGATTAGCTTGCGTGATAGGAGGGAGGATAAGGGCCAGGATAGAATAAAGAAATCTAGTAACATAATGTTTAAGATTAAGAAGCTGTGAGAAAGGGGGAGGAAGTTACGTGATGACACGTGATATGTCACGTGATATTGGAAGGTAGTCCGAATACTTGGTAATAAAATGTGACGAAAAGAGAGAGGTAAAAGCATTCAAATTTCGCGTGACGTAATTGTTGAATGGCCCTATAAGATTAGTGTGCTTTTAAATCAGCTGTTACTTTTATTGGCACTTTGAATTCTCTGAAATACCGACCGTTTCGCGATAAGTGTAATCGCAATAAAATAGAGAACGTGGTTTATATAAAATAAAACGCTAAATATTTCACGAACGATCATTTTTGTGGCTTTGTTTACGTTTTCGCTCGCGTTAATCTCGAGACGCCCTATATATATTTGTTCATTTGATTTACGACAAGCTGCGATTAACGATCGAACAAATAAATACGCAGAATGTTTTCGCAAAGCGACATTATGAAGACAAAATTGTCGCGAGCGATCTTTCTACAATTTCACACTCTACTTTGTCATGCTTAGCTTCATTGGTCACTTTTAACTTTCCTCCCTGCGAGACGAGGTAACATTACTTCGGTAATGTGCAAGACAATATCCGTGTTACGAACGGCGAGGTCTCAAGTCTCTCGGGATAGAACGCGGCTCTGTAGTGAGGTGAAATTTGCTTCGCGCCGGATGCGAAGTCTCCCGGCACAAAGCTGCGGCTTTCAAATTCTGATAAATCTTTTAATTTATGTAAACCTCCGGAGGTGAGGTCTACTTAAGTCGCTTCGGTCGCAATAAATCCGTGCGAACCGGCTGAAGTTTAAGCCCTTTCGTAACTTCGTCGAAAAGTTCGCCGACCCTCTCGCTTTTCGACCTTTCGCGACTCGCTGCCCCGCGACGATCGCGCTCCCCGTCCCGCTTCGCGGATCGCGCCACGTACCGCTCGACGTCGTCGTAAGATAAAGAGATCTCCGGTGGAAGTCGATCGCTTCTCAATTAGCGAGGTTCTCACGCTTTGCTTTTCGTGTCAGCGACGAAACGCAGTGGACAGTCCGCGGGATCCTCGCGATCGCAACTGATCTTGCGTTCGATCCGTATTCTCACCGCTACTTAGCGACGCCTTTAGCGCTGAACATGGTCATATAAATGCAAGTCTTACTCTGTCGCGGGTCAATTGATGAAATAGAGACGAGTGCCAGACAGTTGGAATTAGCGCTAAACGCACGGTGAGATTATGGATTCAATTGGTCGAGAGAAACGATAAACAAGCGTGAGGCTTAATGATCCCGAACGAAGGTATAAAATGTAGCCAACAAATGCTTTCGAGCAATGTGAGAGAGAAAGAGAGAGAGAGAGAGAGAGAGAGGGAGAGGAAAAGGGTGAGAGAGAAGTGAGCCTAGTCTTCTGTTATAGCGTGACATTTCGAAAGATGTTAGAAAGTTTCTTACAATCCTGAGTAAGATGGCTGTATTTTTCTAACCTGATACTTTCCCCTCTGTACATATGCGACACATATATATGATATACGTGCGTGACACGATATCACAATTTGCGAGAGCAAGTTAACGTAGCGCTGTATATCTATGTAAATATAGGATACTAATTGGGGAAGCATGATTGCGTTTGTGCGCGCGTGTGTATGTATGGAAGATGCGACCGGAGTTTCTGAGGATTCTCAACTGAGCCCGAATCACGGAAACTTCCTGTTTGCCCAAAGCGATCATATTGACACGTTGTCTTTCGTGGATGAAAGTGTTGGAATGCTGTAATGTTGAAAAAAAAAAGAAAAATATATATATATAGTATATATTACACGAAGTAACGTGCGCGCGTGTTATTTCAGTGCGTGTGGTCGGATGCTGTTTTCCTATGAATTTCTTATTTATTATCACCAATGGTCTATACAGGGCATAGATATAAGAGGAAAGATCTTTAATTTGCTGAAATTAAGCCGCGACAAACGAGATAAAAAGAAAATAATGCTGTATGTACTGAAGGCAATACCTATACATACCTACGAGAGCGCGAGAAATATACATTCACACGTGACATGAACATACATACACAGAAACACTTGTTAAAAGTAATAAATTATAGTATAAATTAAACATCGTCTTATAATTTTACCTTCACACCTCTAAATTTAGTTTTGTCTTAATTATAATTATACGCGTTTTAAGATAAAGGGGGAGAAAGAGAGGAAAGCAGACGCGTGTGCGCGACAGATAAACTAACGGGAATTCATAATGCGAAAGAAATACGTCGAAAAATACTGTGACCTCGACATTTTCGTATGAAGATTTTAGTTTCCAATTAAACTCTAGAATACATTATTAAAATATCGCACAATGATTTGGTCCTCGATTCACACATGCGAATATTTTGTTTCTGTAATAGATCAGGATTATCAATTTCTGAATATAGAGCAAAATGATATCACTAATGAATTTTGGCATGGCATGTGTATTAAAATTAGCTTCGATCCTATGCTGAAAATGCATGATAAAGAGGCTTCGTATGAACGCAAGTTTCAATTACGGCTAAAACAATGAAAAATACGAAAGCATAAACGGATCCAATTTGCAATTAAATCGCTCATGCTATCTCCATAAAATGCACGAATGAAGTAATCTAACGTAAGCCGACGGTAGATTATTCACTCTACCGCGCGGAGAGATTCTAGCAGGAAGGAAAACGAGATAAACCTATATTATTCTCGCCAGGCCGTAATTAAGTGTGAAACTTACGACGACTCCCAGTCAGTCAGCCGACTGCAAAAAGTAATGAAAGTTGCGGATAAATGTGCAATCTACTGACCTAAATCGCAAGTCGTAAAGTAACAACAATATAGGACACGGAATTATTTTGCGTAACAGCTCGACGAATCGAATGGACGAGGCGGTGCAATAATGAAGTGCACATACCTGTATCGAGCTCGCCATATCATTTTTAAATTTAATTTGTTAAAAATTTTATATAAATAATACAATATATTTCTGCTTGATATTTGTATGAAATTGTATTTAATTAGAACTCAATGGGTAAGTTATTAAACAGCATTGATGAGATAATACAATTTTTATGTTGCTTTTAATTAATCATTTACAAATTAATAAAGGAAATGTCGTAAAATTTAACGGTCGATATATTCGATTACATTTATCTTACAATTGTAAATGTATGTTGGAAACATAAGGTTAAGTATAATTTCTCTCGTGAAAGTCAGAAAAATTCTTAATCATTTCCGTTGTTGGGTTTGGGAAGATTTTTTCAGAGGTGTCGCAGTTTCCAGTTCACTACACATATGTGCGACTACATTTGTTCGATTCAACGCAATCTGCAGTGACAATGGTCGCGAGCAACTACTACGGCCGCCAGCGAAATTCAATCTGCGGCAAAATCGTTCGGTGCCAACTTTTACGGACGTTCGAGGAATAAAAGGTATCACGAGATTTCGCAAAGAACCGACCGTTTACTCGTGTGAGCATCGAGGTACTTGTGATGAACAAAAGGAAGAGGGGAGTGAACGCGAATAGACACATAAATAGCCAGACAAAAGCGAGTGCAGAACGAGAGAAAGAAGAGGGGGCGTTTCATCCGAGAAGGACGGATTAAAAATAAATTCTCTATGCTTTGTATGTGTTCGAAGCAATTTAATTCTTATTTACTGAATATCTTCGACAATAAATTTGGAAACATCAGTGTGTTCTAATCAGAAATAAATTCTTAAATCCAGAGAGACGTGATCTGCTTTGGTAACTCTTCTCCAGCTAGCTGCAGTATTTGTACTACATAATACTTCGGATATATACGCATGTGCGTCACATTGCAATGTGGATACGTATTGCGAAGGTGATTGCGCATAGTTTTCACAGCTGATATCCAACTCCAATCTGAAATAATTTTATTTTAATGTTTTTACGCTTGAATATTGTAATGAACTTAATAAACTTAATGTGTACTATAAGAAGAATAATCATCTCAATTATACGGGAAATATTGACATATCAGAATATCTTGACAAATAGGGAAAATTGCACAATATATATTAAAAATGATGGACTGTGAGTATTTGTACAATAACAAGAAAGTTCGAATATCATATGCTCCATACGGAGGAAGATAATTTGCTGGCACAGCGAATTTTATGCCGTCGCAGCAAAGTCAGTTTCTATATGGACAGAAAAACGACTTGTTAAAAGAGATAACAACTAATTGCCATTTGCTGGATATATTTTGCTGAATCTACAAATTATTTTATTGCAAGAACAAATTAGTAAATTTAGGAAAACATTATTTTATTCTAACAACAAATTAATTTGTCCTAAGGACAAATTCACCCAGCAGAATATTTTCTAACCTGATAATAAAATTGTTTTCGCTCTAATTACGTTAATAATACGATAATTACATCTCTGAATTTTAACCTGCATTTTTATATCATATTTGATCTGAAATCACATTGAATATAATATAGATAAATAACTTTCGGTAAAGTTAACTTCAATTAAGTCCCAATTCAATTTAATAGGCACTAGATATCTCCGAAATTTGATAAAATTATATTTAACGTAATGTAATTCAATTTACATGCGCACTTCAAACATATGAATTGGAACATATTCATGCACACACATCCTATTTCACAAGAGATTGTAATTAATTTAATAAATTCTCTCCAGTTAGTTACTCGGAATATTCTGCAGAAGTGTATAAATAATACATGTGAATGCGTGGATCGATATTCCCGCGGACATAATTTCTTTTAGCGAATGTGTCGTTAAGTTACGTCGTCGAGTCCTGTTTCATCTTTAATCTATCACGATTAATCATCTTTAGGGCTGTGAAAATAATTGCCGCCGCTGCAAAACAAGTAACGGTTCGCACTAGGTGCTTCTTCCTATCTCTCTCTCTCTCTCTCTCAGCCGAGACAGAAACCCTCTCCTGCTATAATTAATGTAAATAAGAAACTTAGGCGACTGTACGGTCGAGACGCTTCATTCCTCTCTTCGTATTTCTACCCTCGTCCTTTCTACATTACGCTCCTGCAGAGAGACTACCGGCACCTGCGTCACTTGGTGTGCAGAAATAGCAACTGCCGTATTCCGTGGTAAAATTTTGAAGAATTTACGAGCGGTATTGTGTCCGAACGAAAAGTACTCAAGATGTTTGCTTTCTCATGCGCAAGGCGAGAAACTTTTCTTCTTGGCGAGACACACATCTCAACGTACTCACCATTAAAAAAGTATAGTGCGGTCATTCTTTTGCAAAAATACGCTAACAACAAAGGAATACAACGCTATTTAAACGTGCATCTCTTTCGCAGTAAATATTTTAGTTCGCATTGAAGTCCTTAATAAATTGTAACATTTCCATGCTTCTTTTAATGAAATTTTCTATTTCTCTTTTTCACTTTTGCTTCATATCGTGCTATAATATTTCAGATAGAAGATCTTTGTAGATGACAGAAATATTTGTCAATAATGTTCTGCGATAAAATATTCGCTAAGTTTGTTGTTTTGTATTTTTTTCCATTTTACTGTAAATTTCCATTACGTTCGGATTCGGATTGAATGCGATAACGATGATCGACGGATGGATAGAAATGGAAAAAAGATTGAAGAGCTTTCGTATTGGACAGCTGATTTATATATCAATGCAATAGGGGACGCAGAATTTATGTGAGATGAAGATCATTCTAATGTAATAGTGCGATAAATTGGTCTCGTGCTACCCTTTCAACCGAATGACCGGAATTTACGTATGTGGACGGACTAACAGAATTGTCAGGCACCAACGCGTATGATTAACAAAATTGGTTTACTAATTAATACCTCTCGAATACGTGTTCCATATTCATAAGATTCTGCCAACGAACTTTCATCGTTCGACAGCATTTACCGAAGTGAATGGACGTGCTTGTAGATAGTAATTAGAAATTTACTATACAGCAGAATATCGAGAGTTATATTTATAAAGTTCTGTTAATCTTGCGATGTAGCCAATATTAAATATAAAATAAATATTATGTTCATAAACTGTTTTAATTAAAATATTAAAAAATCGTAATTTTTAGTACACGTACGGTGTCCGGTCATTTTCTCGGTGTGCAGGTAGAATAGATTAAACTGAACAGGAAAGTCATGTACTATTTTGCAAAATTTACAATGTTTGCACTTAATGAGGAGTTAATTAACCTGCGTGAACTAATGAATGCACAGGAAGCGGTAAGCTGGTCCCAGTATAAAAAAAAATGGCAAATCAGTTGATACTCATCGTTGTTAAGAGAAATAAGCCATTTTTTTCACACAAGTCTAACCTAACGTTTCTCGTGCGCTTATTATCTCATACAGATTGATTAATCTCTCATTAATTACTGCGAAATTTGCAAAATGATACATGATTTTTCTGTTCTGTATCACCTGTTCTACCTGTTCTACCACATCATGGATTCCGATAAATTATCGGGCATCTATTAATTATAAAAATTACTCCGATTTTACTTTGGAATTAACCGTTTAAGTGCCAAGAAGCGATTTTGCGCTTCTTCTGTTTCGCTCGAAAAATACCAGCGTTCTAGGCTGCGAAGCCAATAACCGGCACACGCTCGGCTTCTGTCGATGCGCAACTTTACGGCTACCATTTCCGTTTTAGGTAAAAATAAAATAATGAGACAACTGATAAAAGAACGAATTTTAATTGCAATCTAACATTTGAACGCAATCATCGGAGAATAAGACGAGCGCTATCGCGCCGTTTGGCATTTCTGGATGGAGAATAAGACAAGCGAAAAAGCGCTCCTTGGCACGTTTGAACGGGGAAACAGCAGAGACGCGTGGCACTCAAACGGTTAAAAAGAAATTATTTGGTTTCAATTAATTAAGATGTGATTTGTGCAAACTTTTCATTTCTCATCATTTTCCTTGCTTTATTTATAAGTGGTAAAGTAGACAATAATACAACGTGCACAAACTGCCTGAGGACGTATGGAGAGGATAAGAGAGCAGAAAAGAATGAAAGATGTTCGCAACTTGCAGGCATGGATCTAATAAAAGCGGCCGAAGTAATATTACATGCTATTAAGGAAGCTTTTGAGCGAGTAGCGACGCCGCGAAACTCGCGATCACGCCTTGAGAACTCACTTTTGCAAATGCGGGAACGTGTGGTTGTGGTAATTTCGGCAGAGTTAAGCCCGCTTTCGCGATCCCAAGCTCCATCGGCCTTACGGCAGGATTACTTGCATGTAACGTGTAATTTATCCCGCCGAAACCGCCTAGCTGCAGCTGCAAACCTGCAAAGTACGTTAATTGCGTTACGCTACGAGCTGCGCGGGAAAGAATTGTTAAACAAACAGAACCTTAAACGCAATCAGCAGATAGACTGCCAGAAAGATTTGCACCGAAGGTCGCGTAGAGGGTTGAATGTAAAAGTACATATCGATGCTATTTGAGATGATTCCAATCGAGATTTATTCATCTGCGTGAAATTACGAAACTATTTCATAGACCATACGTAAAAGTAAAACGTAATTTCTCGTGCAAATTTAACACGATAGATTATGAAACATACAAACGCACTTTTTTAGTATTCTTCGCGTTATTCGAAAGTAGATAATCGGGTTTTATGACATTTCACAAGTCGTACACAGAATTGAATCTCAATCCAAATCAGTGATAGCTTCTTGATAGATCGCATAAATATTATAAGTAAAATATCTCCTTCAATCCGCACATCAAGCAATTTTCACCATGCGGATTTGAAAAAGGGAATTCAGAGGTAAAAAATGAGAGACAAATTAAATCATTCCGCAAGTCAGCGAAACTTCAATACGCTTTCGACGAAATTACATTATTTATCCTCAACGAAATTCACGTTGCGCTAAATGTGGCTGTGTTACGGCATCACGCCGGAACTAAAGATGTAAAACTTGCTTAGCGCACAGCTGAGAGTGTAGCTAAGATACCTGTGGGGTGCCAAGGATTTCTTGCCTCTTGAGTTTGTCGTAATTGTTCTGCACGATGTAAACTTTGCCCCAGGTTCAAAGTTGGTATGCCCGCAGGCATGTCCGTCGTCATGCCACCAGGTATGCTCGTTGATATGCCACCAGTTATGCTTCCAGATATACTATCGGGTATACTTGCAGTCAGACTGCTTGGCATGCTTGTCATGAAGTCCAAAGGTAAATTCACTTCTGTACAAGGTATAATCAAATGTTGAGCGGCGAATTGACATCATCATTGACATTATCGAAACACTCCTCTGATCGAACAATACTGAACCCTTCGGCATTGACACTATATGATTGCTGATGAACCATGATACGATTTTATCCGCTGCATTCAAATATTAGAAAATTCAGACCTTGCAATCTTATCTTGTTAATATTCTCTCTTCATGTACGAACAAACAAAAATGCATGTTTGTGACGCCGCGATTATTGATAATTCTTATGGATGTTCTAGCGTGAAGCATATGTGAACTAAAAAATTAGGAAAACTCGTAAAATATTATTGAAACGTAGCATTTGCGGTAATACGTATAGACAAGTGTTATTCCGTCTCATGTAACTTTTTACTCAGAGCGATGTGACGTGGGAAGAGGAAAGTAACATTTAATCGACTCGAATTCTGCCTACTGATTGTCCGGGATAATAACGAGCTATAGCAATATCGTACCTAGCGGCACATAGTTATTTGTCGAGCCGTCGGACGCTATTGCGGATTTTCCTGGTAACTTTACGGGAACATCATGTTTAATCAGCATTGGCCAAGAAACAGCCGAGGCAGATGCGGCCGATGTATTCGGCAAAATGAGTTTCATCTTTCCATTGGGAGACAACGGAGCATAGCTGGACGATGCTTCCGGCTGCGAGAATTGCTGGAAAGACCAGCCGTGTTTAAGTACTTCGGGCAACGCGTTGTTTGCGAGGGAGTTCGGAATGTCGCCTTTCAGCATGCTCTTCTGCTCTTCGGAGAGAATGTAGTTCAACATCGGGTTTTGGTTATCGGGCTTGATGTTGTTCTTCGACACTTCTGGCATTAGATATTTCAAGTTGTGCTCATCGATCTTCAAGTTACTGTTTGGTGTCTCCGGAAGCGGATAGGTATGCACGTTGTTCTTCAACTCATTTTGGGAGATGAAAGAAGGCGCCACAACAGCTCCATATTTAGTAGCATGGAAATGAATCGGTTCAAGAGTGCTATATGAAAGAAATCAAATTTAGATACGCGGAAATGTCTTAAAATATTATTTTGCAAATTAATTTGTTAGTAAATCTCCTCTTTTCGTATTCTTTATTCACAAATAATTAGTGTTTTATAAGCGTTTCAATCTGGGAAGTCACGATGTAACTAGAAATTTTGTCGAACATTGCGAAATTAATTATACAAAAAATTAATAAATTCTTAAACAGCTGGGTCTCAGAATAATATTAATTACGTTAATTTTGCATGAAGTACGATATAACGAACTGCGATATAACGCCATTTGAATGACGTTCTTGTTTGCTAATTAAATAGTTTGGCGTATTTACACCTATAGTTATATAATGTCGTAACTAATCGACAAATAATAAAGCTTAATAGCAGGTATTACGTACTTTCCGCTGAACGGCATTATTGAAGTTAGTGTAGCCATGACAGATGAACTGGGTTTGGTTGTTAATCTCGTTAACATATGGTCTATAATCGAGGATCGGTTTGTGTTAACAAAGATTGACGGCACAGTTGTAACTGCGTTGCTGGACATAGTTGACGAGTTGTCAACTAGCTAAAAATACATAGAACGTTAGATTTATTTTAAAAATATTTTTCTAGGACAGTACGAGAGAGAGAGAGAGAGAGAGAAAGAGAGAGAATTATATCCCATAAAAACAAACATGTACAAGATCGGATTTCTAAATTGTAAAATTATAATTAAATATACGTAGGATAAACTTGATAAAGATAACAAATTTGTAGCAGTTTTTATTTCGATTGTAATTACGCGCTGCGAAACAAATATCTTGAAATTTCCATGAAATACATTTTGCCCTCGATTATCGAATATCAAATTCAGCGGATGAAATGAAATTTTGGCCGTACCATATTTTAGACGGCAAAAATATCAAGGATAAGGAATCTGCTCACCGTGTTGTACTTGCCGCTTAACGGTGAAATAGCCGACTGCGACGTCGATGCCAAGTCAAGTTTCATCCTGGAAGCATCTGATGAATGCACTCCACTTATACCGAACGATGCAGGAAACAAAGAAGAAGCAGATCCGTGGTTAGCAACGGGCGTTGACGGCAGCGTTACGGGAACATCGACATTCAATGCGGAAAGATGTTCAGAGAACGGGACCATCGGTATCGAAGACAGTTCGAGTGCGTGATTACCTGCGGCGCAAAGTATAAGTCAATATCTTCGGATTGTCACAAATTAAAAGTTTCTCAATACACAGACAATAAGCAGCATTAATGTTGCTGTTTTAACGAACTATTTATATTTTCGTCGAAACTGCGATATCGATTTACGCGCGAAATAATTAACGTAGAGATACGCCCTGAGGTTTAAAACAGAGAATATCGACATCCCATCTCAATTCTATTTCTCAATTCTATTTCTCAGTTCTACTTAAAATTTTATTTTCCCCAAATTATACAACATTTATAAGCCTACCGTACTCCGTGTACATTGCGGGTCCTCCGCAATGTCCATAGGATGTGGCTTGCGCGTCTTTCTGTCGTCCGTACGAATCGATCGGTTTACTGTAAGAATCATCTCGATAGAACTTGATTGAGTTAGAAATGGTCGGGAAATCGACGTAAGTCCTTTGCTTCCGAAACGGTGCTTGTTCATCTGGGGGTGGCTGTCCGTGAAATAAGTTTTTCAACGGCGTTTCAAGCGTTAACAATTGTTTCTTGAATGGTGCTTGACTTCTGTACACCGACGCTTGTTCCCCGAAGATCTCTTCCGACGCAAGCGACGCGCTTTGTCCTTCGAAGGGGCTGTTTCTGAAGACTGCTCGTTCCCCGCGCAATTCGTGATCCTTCAGCAGTGCGTCTCTGAACAATGGTTCGTCTCTGAACGCTGTTACCGTGTGAAATAAATTCTTCTTGAACGGTTGTTTGTGAAATATTGGCACACCGGACGGATATGCACTTCGTTCTCTTAAAGATGTATCGAGGAAGGTTTGTTGGCCGATGGTTTGGTCTCTCACTGGGCCATCAAGCAGTGTTTGCTGACCAATTATCTTGTCGATAAATGATCGATCGAGAAAGAGATCTCGTGGACGAGGTTTGTAATATGATATGACGTCCGTATTTAAAGAAACGACATCTCTCTTATTTCTGTATGCATCGGCAATTACCACTGTTATCACGATGATGATAACCTGAGGAAAGAGGAACACACTGACGTTTAGAAATATCATGATTACAAGAGGAATTTTTACGGAAGGCTCACCGAGAATCGCAGATGGCACGTCATGGATGATCGTCGTAATTGCAAACTAATGTCCGCTGTGTTCTTAAAATTAAAGGTTCAATGATAACTGCGATGATAATTGCGATTCTTATACAAGTCTAAACGACGATAATGACTCGGCGTAGCTACTACAGCAAGTGTGAATGATTCCGATCAACGATCTTATATAGGATCGATGATCCTACTTCCAGTTTTACTCCTTTCCATTACTGATATCAGACTAGACTGGTAAAACATGTACTTGTTACCTTTCTCTTTTTCTTATACAGAGTACGCATGTATTATTACTTTCTTACAATATCATTACAATGTATTAAAGTATCTTCATTAAAAGACTCAACGTATGATAGAAAAATATTTTTAATTTAATAATGTATTATTTTATCTTTACACATATATTTACAATTTCTAAATTTGAATTTTACAAAGAACTACGCTATAAATACACACGTCAAATTATTTATTGTTAAAGTTAATACGTTTGGGATATTTATGTGTGTTATATACATATTACAATTACTTAGACACTACGAAAAACAAATATATGTTAATTGATGTTTTTCAACTATACTTTCTTCTTGATTGACATTATATCAAATGTATCTTTAATAATATAAAATTTCAAAATAGCTTCACGAGAGACTTCTCCGTTGTGTGCGCTCGCAAGAGAAGCGGAAGCACAGTAAAAGAGAAACTGCGCTCGCTACGCTGCGTCTTAAATGCAGATGCAAGAAGGAACGGAGCCTTCTCCGGCGTCCTTCGAGGAAAATTGCTTGCAATGGAGGAAGCCAATTGCAGAGGTTGCCCTTTACGCACAGATGAATGAATTACGGCACGAAGAATATAATTTCAAAGGAACTCGTTTTCCACTAGCTCTTTTGGCTCTCACCTGGGAGACAAATCGGGGGTGGCGAGAAGGGCGGAGTGTGCGAAAGTTCGCGAGGCTCGAAGTCCGCGAAACGGGGAAGAAACGGGAGAAAAAAGTCTTCCGAGTGCGTCTTCCGAGCGGCGAAAAAGTTATTTGCATTTCAACGCTCGTGCAAAGTTTACTTCGCGCCATATAGATGCGGATTGGTGCTTCTCTCGTGGTAAGTCGGCGTGGCGATAATTGGCAAGCTAAAGAAACGAGATAGACGTTCTTCTACCCGTTCCTTCCTGTGCCTCTTTTCGAAAAGATAAACTTGCCATTTATATATCCCGACCTTATATTGTATATGGTTAAAGTTGGCCAGGTTTTGGATTGCTTTCAGATTATTTTACGTAAATGGCGATAAAATACATATATAATGAGCGGCACTTACGTACTTAAAATGCATTATCGGAAAAGTAAAAGACAATTTCTATCGTTCTCTGAAATAATTAGGAATAATAAACAATTGCGGAATTGTGAAGTAAAAGCGACGATGATAATTGACTGAGTTTAAGGAAGATGGTTATTTAGGAGTGATGAAAAGATGAAGAGCGTGAAAAGATTTCAGTTATACGGCTATATCGATCGAAAGGTTCACTCTGTAACATCCCCTTTACGCTTTAGGACACATTATGCTGGAAATGCTTGAACTAAAAGCACAAAATCGTGTTATCGAACTTTTTTAACGGGTCATTTATTTTATTTGAAAGGCGCCGTTTTGTGTGATATCCGCCTGTGTACCAAGGCCGGAAACTAAGCCGACGGTGTAATTTTTATTACTTCCTTATTGTCGCCTCTTTAAAACTCAACCGACGGAAATTTTACGCCGCGCGGAAGCTTTAAGGTAACCGTATTTCATACGCTCATGAGGGCTGCTGTTCGGGGGCTACTAAAACATTATCATTTATCGAAGGTCGACTGGGTTAAGAGCGAATAGCCATGTAAAATATCACGGGTCTCGTCTCTCGATGCCAATTTTTTCGCGTTGTTACTCGTGTGCGTCGGAAAAAGCGGCGGAAGAAACGCGTTTATCATTAGTAGTTGCTGAACAGTGAACGATCGAAAATAACCGATTCATAGTACGCGTACAAAATTACGCATACACAGCATGAATCGAGCAGCTGCAGCACGCTAATGAGTCTCTGCAGCGCCAAACGCGCGAAATATTTATTAAGCCGCATGTGAATTCAGCGCATTCATCCGTCCATGCATGTAAAAGCACCTTTGAACGACGAAGTTTCGAACTTGAACGCACCATAGTAAATGAATTGCGGATAATTCGACTTTTGATGAAAATATTTATTATTTAAATGATTATCGCCGGGCGTCGCACAAATTTAAATACTTAACGCCGCTTTGTATATAAAATATACAAAGTATAAAATTGAGACGAAGAGAAATAAATATCACCGATATCGGGGTCAAAAGGTAACTATATAAAGATAACAACAAAAAGAGTCAAATGAAAGACGTCGTTACTCCAATAAACGTTTCGAGCTGAAAATTAATCCGACTGCATTACGGTTTTGGTTTACTCAAAGTACGGAAATATCAGCGCACATGTTGAAAGGCTTCGGGCTGTTCGGAACAGCGCATCGCGTTATGTACGACTGTCAATGTGAGATGACGGCTTTATTGATATCGCAGGTAAGTTAATATTTATACTATGAAAGAGCCGGTATTAAATTTTACGAAACATCGCGTATACGCGTACGGTGAATTTACATACGGCGGAAAAATCACAATGCAACTGGAAATGTCAAATGGTTCGTATGAAATATTGATAGATAACGGGGAAAACGTTTCCATTTCCATTCTAGTTGCAGACGCGGGTTTTTAATCTCCTTATGACACGCGCGCGTACCGTGCAAACAACTATATTTAATTACCTATAAATGTTACCGCATGGTTGCGTCGAATCGTTGATCAATCACACCGTATTCCCGCACTTGCAGATAATTATAAATGGTCGTAGATCACACTGACAAATGTATTCTATAGCGCGTACATTTTCTAGGCAGGTGTTTTGTGGGTTTTGCCCGCAATCGAACTGACAGTCAACACGATAGTTTACCATGGAGGCTTTCAAGCGAATTGGAACTGCGGCTCCGAGCCGTTCGTTTGGGTCGTTTGCGGAATATATGGCTGCAAGACGAAATAAGGTAGTGGGTTTCTAGTATTATTGCTTTCATATGCGAAGCAAAACGTCACCGATGATATCGTTTTGCAGTGCTTCGAGCCTTGTTGATACATCACCTCGAAAAGCTAAATAATGAAGGAAGGGCAAACTTAAGCCGGATACAGACTTGTTGAGCATCCTCGTAACGTATCAACGTATCACAAAATGGTGTAAATAAATAATCAACTTACCCTTTCTTCCCGCTTTTTCATATCCGTCAAAACTAGGTGAGTCGTGGATGTTGCCATTCTAAAAAGTGAGTCGCGGGCACACAGGCTTGGGAAATCCTATATTAAAATATATGAAACGCGATATTAAAAATTCCCCTGTTCTCCTCCCAACTTACCGAGACTACGCCAACTTACACCCGACAAAACCCGAACGAATAACAATTCCAATCCCCGTCTAGAGGATTTCCGCGAACTTTTCTTTGCTGGAAACGCTCTAACTCGCCGATATAGACCCGAAGCTTTCAACTTCAACTTCAACTTTAGTTTCGTGAAACGGGTATTTACTTAGGTGCTTGAAGCAATTTGTTATCCGGCGCTTAATTCGCAGATAAATGTAGGGGTTCGTTAGTAGGACGATACGGGAATTCGTCGGGAAGGGGATCACGTGGGGAATCATCCATGTAATATTTGCTAATTGTCACGTGGGCGCGGTGATGAGCGAATTGATTTATAGTGCGTTCCTGAAAAACGGACCGAAAGTACCGTCAAATTCTCATCTGCAAGATGTGGGATCTGCAGTGAAAGGGATATAAATCAGCCAAATTTTTGGAAACTTTTGAGAAACATGAATCTTTTCGATCCGTGTGAATTCAGTTTACATCTTTACTCGCGAATGACTCCGGTGAATCTCATTGGCTTATCGGGATTTGTCTTTAAATTGTATTTATTCGTGATACGGTCATTTAGGTCATTGTGCGAGTTTAACTCTACTATACTGTCCAGATTTATTATACAATTGTATTCGGATCGATATGACCCGACCTATCGTTTTGTACAAGAAAATAAAATTAATTTCTTGAAATGCTTATTAATAAAAAAATTGAAAAATTAAATTGCTATTTAAAAAATTCAACGAAAATTATATATTTTTTTTGTAATTGACAACAATAGCACCAACTTGTGAGAACGCGCGTAAATTCATTTCTGGCGGAATAAACCTGAATATCAGGGTTAAGAAGAAGTTTCTGTATAAAGAAATACTCGTTTTTCGACATTTTATTATAGTCGAACTGCATTTCAGTCAAACGTTTTGCATTTTCAAATATCGTTCGTGGACTGTGACAAATTTCACTACGAAAACCGCCATTTGCCGTTGGCATATACAGTACGTTAACTTTGTTGCCACGTATGTAATAAACGAAGATTTAGTGACCGATTCGTGGGTGATGTACAATTTCAGCGCTTCGGGTCGCTCTGAATCTCTCAACCTGAACCTAAACTGCAACACTGCGCACGGATGCATACGCGTTGGTCATCACGGCTTAAGCTGTGAATCTCCGGCCACGTAACCATATGTTTGCTTAAAATGCACATCTTGCGTATCGCCGAGTCCTATAATTGAGTTCCTCTTATACATATCCACTCACGTTTTATGTACATACCATTACTGCGGATATCACGTTTCTTTATATGGTAGTCGATGAATCTATGCAGGAGACGCCTAATACGATTGTAGAAATGGTAGTACGGGTGGGATGATTCACGCTTTGAATCAACATTCCGGTGTATACTGAATCCACGCCTCCGGGAAATATCAGTAAAGAGACGCACTTTTCAGGAGGGATATTCGTCAATAATGCAACGCAATG